AGTAAATCCTGATAGAAGAGAACAAGACGTTAAGCACAATTCAATAATGTGTTGGAATTTTGCAAGAATTGGAAGCATGCTAGAATTGGAATACTTGTGATCCATGCAAGAAGCAGCAAGAAAGACGCCATTTGAACCTTGAGATAGAGAATATATCTCATGCAATACCTGATTGTTCTCCATGAGTATTTTTGGAACTAGACTTGCACCTCAAGTCACAAACGGAATACTAATATTACTTTAATAAGCTTCTATATCTTGATATCATAAGCTTCAATATACTGATAGCATGCTCATAGAGGTTGCAATTTGCATCAAAGTTTATTTCAAGCCACTACAATCATCACCCATGAGACTTATAATCTTGGCATACTATTCCATTGGTTCATCAGTAACTACTACTAATGGAAATTTATAAGCTAGTACACCATACAATCAAAGTCAAATAGTCGCATATATTTTCTCAAAAATGACAATTGCAATTTATGCAACAAGTTATAGCTATATATAGTTACCACCATAATGCATCAAGTGGACCAATTCTATTTGACTAAAACTTCATATATAAGGAGTGAAAAGCCACATTAACCAGTTTCTTGCCACAACAATCACGATGTGCAATTTGCTTTCCAAGAAACCTAACTTAGCAGAATGTAATATTTCTCTTACCATGATTAGCCAATAAATTGTTAGCCATTAATGAAAAGCAGGTTACAGATTAGTAATCACATTTTTGGAACATTTTTAGACGCTAGCAATCGTATTGGCTATCACAAAGTACCTGCAACATTTTTGAAAAAAACTATGAGAAAGTTGAGGTCTCCATGACATGGAATTATCTAATCACTTGCACAACAAGAGGGAAAAAATCACTTGTCTAAACTTAAAAAGAGTTCTATTTAATATGCATTGCATATTACTTATAAGCAAGTTAAAAATGACAAATATTAGTCTGATCCCTTACTACATAAACGAACTGCAAGAGGTTGTCTTAACAACATTGATGCGTGATATTATCAATTAGTCATCAGTCAACTTAAACTAATGGTAACCTTTGATAATATACTGAATCCAAAGATCCTCTTTCTTAAAAACTTTGCACAAGGAACTTACACAAAGGCAGGGGTCTGGTTGAACTTGGCAATCAGAGTTTGATAGAGAGGGGTGGTGCCCACAATGGCGACGGCGGTGGTCTTGGTCTGCTTGTTGAGACCCATATGCGACTATGTGCAAGACCAACCTCCCAATGAGACAAAAACCTGCACAAATCAACTCTTGTTACATGCTTAGCTTACAAATGCGGCATTCAAGTGACCTACAATTTCAGTCTTAAGGTATAGACAAGATTGATTGCTGCCAAAGTCCAAATGGATAACAATAAAGAGTGAACATACCATTTATGCCGATCTTTATTTTCCCACCACTCGATGATCTTAAACAACAAAATAAAGTCAAATAGCAGTAAAGCTCTTACGCCAAATAAGGGAAACAAATAAGGGAAATAGACTCACATACCTTCCAATGTAGAGGAGGACAAACAGCAGCAGCGATGGAGGAGTGGCAAGAAAAACCGGTCGGAAAACAACTGCAGGAGGAGGAGAAGGTCAAAGTGGTGATTAGGTTTTTGAGGGAAAAGGGGGGTGGGGGATCACGTTAGGGTTTTCACCGAAGAGGAGGAGGGAGCGACAGCTTCGAGCGGCGGCAACAACAATGTCCAATCGAGTAGAAGATGATGAATTAGGGTTTTTTGGGGAGAGGAGGCAGTGGCGAGAGAGCTCCAACGACGACGACTAGAGGAGGAGGCGACGATAGAGCTCCGACGACAACGAGAGGAGGAGGGCGGCGCTAGTTTTGGCGAGAGAGAGGGAGGGAGGGCGCCGTTGGTGCTGATAAAACTAGCCCCAATGGTTCCTACCACCCGTTGAGGCTGCTCCTATTTGTACTAGTGAAATGTGTCATCCCTTGCATATTACTTGGCTCTTGTAACACAGAATTAGAGCTCACATTAAGATTAGTCGAACCATCAAATAAATGTGTGCCATCCATCTGCAAAAATAAATAGCAACTATCATTCAAAAAAATTATCCAAGTAACATATTTGCAATTGAGACAAAAATTGGGCTCCAGTATTACCATCTCTTTTTTCTTATGCACAAAATTGTCATCCAAGTGGTCTCCAAACCATTCCATACTTTTTATGCCTCCAATCAAATTAAGAGCACAACTTAATCATGAGCATAGACCTTTCATCCACAAACTCTGTTTGATCTAAAAGATGGACTAAAACTAAAAAATAACTTATTCACGTTCAAAGGTATTTGAACCAGAAGAAAAACAATCCAAAAATATAAAAGAAATTTGAATTTTCAATTAAAATTCTCGAAATTTATATAGATAATTGAGCATTATGAAAGCATTTTAATAGATAAAGCTTGTGATTATTCAGCGTAGGACATCCAAAATTTTTAAGAACATCTAGAGATAAGATCATTTCTGTCCAAACTTATACACCTTTTATTTGATTCACTAATAACTGTCTGCTGCCTTTTCCTGTTTGGATTTGTAGGGGGTGAAGGAAAGTTAAGGGAAACTAAGAGAAGAGAAGGGAATGGAAGGGAAGGGAGTTCCATTCTCCTTGGTTACACCCCAATTTGAGGGGTAACAAATTTTATACTATTAGGGGGTGAACCAAGGGGAACTGGGGTTTTATTTTTATCGCAAGATAAAAATAAAAGCCCAAGGGGGGTGTTCCCAAACAAAGTGGATGGAGGTGAATGGTTCCCCTAACTTCCCTTCACCCTCATTCCCCTCAATCCAAACAAGCCCTTAAAGTGGGTTAGGGTAGCGTGATCCTCGAAGAAAGTGAAGTCACATGAACCCACCTGTTACAAAAATGAATTAGACTGTTCTACTCGGACCTAACGTAGGGCCGGAGTCTGCGCCACAGGAGAAATAGAAGAGACATGCAATGATTTTCTCCCTTTTCAACTAAATTTTAATCAATTTCTTTCAAACTTTTGCCAAATTGAGAGCTTAAATTCTTATTGAGTTTTCTGGAGGTTTTTTCATTAAATCTAGAGAACAAGTGGTGTACTCTTTAAACGCTAAGCCAAAGATACAAAATTTTTCCCTTCTCGTTCCCATGATTGTTATCCTTTCCGGGGGCTTTATCTATTTAACTATTCGTATTGAATTTCTTTTTTTTTTTTGTAAACTCTAGATGTAAGTAGTTTATTTAATTATTTATTTGATTATATTAATATATTGTATTGTTTTTAATAAGTTGATGGTTGATTTTTTTGGCAAATAAAAGAAGCTTGATTTATCTTCAATTTTAGGATTTTTTGTAATAATTTATCTTTGTACTCAATACAAAGTCTATATATATATATATTTTTATGAATAACTCTTATCGTATATATATTTGTTTATCATCGCGTTTATATATTTTTCGTCCCTCTCAAAGTTGGAATCCTTGCTAAGCCACTGCCTAAATTAATAACTTAAGAGTTTGCGTAGTTAATTGAGTCATGACTGCAGACGTAATTCATCTAACTTTAGCGACGGACTAAAACTAAATCTTTTACACATTAAACTGAATAAATGTGAAACACCCCAAGCGTTTTTTTTTTTTTTTTGTGCTTATAACTTTCAATCAGCCTGTTGTCAGTGCTTATGTTCTAATATTACACTTTCCTTGCATACTTCTTTTATCGCAAGTATCACGGTTTCCAAAAACAGGACATGAGTATCATTTCATCATATTCAGGTCCATTGCTAAATCACATTAATTGAGGCAACAATTCCCTTGAGGCCCATTGCTAACGCCCGTACCATTGGAATGTCACCTGATGGTCCTTGGGCTTTTATTTTTATCTTGCGTGTCTGGCCTGTTGTAGACAAGTAACAATGAGATCTACAATTTTTTAGAAACTTGCTTTCTCAATTGATGACAGAATGTTTCACTTTCTCTATGAATATGTTTTATACACGCATCCCTGATTGAGATTCCACTGCGCAAGCAATATGCATCCAAAGTTTAATTTGCTAATGTGTACCTATGGAAGGGGAAAACATAAATCACTAATTTTTTTTGGCCATCCATAATAAAAATTAGGTGATTTTGTTGTCAAATTAACCACCTTTAGTTCTATTGGTGCCGATAGACTATTACCCAAAGCGTGAGTAGTCCAAAAAATTTCACTCAGGAGTTCTACTATCCGCGTTAATAGAACTATCAGGGAGTGTTTTCCACGATTAGTCTACAGTTCAGAGGGTTTATCTGCACAACCCTTCAATAAAATGTAAAAGTAAAAAATCTAAATGCTTTATTAGGAAATCAGCTGTCAGGGGAAAAAATAAGCCGAAAACAACCTAATCATTGCTGATCAAAATGAAGAGACTGGCAAAATGAAAATGAATTGGGTAAATTCAATTCTTTTGATTGAAAGATGAATTTAGTTCTTGAAATGTCTCCCATCTCCATTTAACAGGTGATATTGAACTAAGATTGATTCACAGGTAATATTGAACTAAGATTTGATTCGAAAGTGATTTTTTGTTCTATCTATTTATTGATAAAAGTTTTCTGCCTC